GCAATAGTGTCTATTTACCAGTAAATTTTATTCCCTTATTCCTAATCAGATACAGAAATTATTAACTATACTGTATTTTTATGAATGCCTTCATATTCATGGCTTTTTCTTATCCTCTCAAAACAAATGTGTGTCTCAAATGTGCTCAAGTAACTGAAAAGGTTTGGTAACTTCTTGAGTCATAAAACAGTCCTGTGACTGCGTCAGACTGTGAACAGAATCATTGCTACCTTGTTTATCGTGGCCTCATCAGCTCCTTGAACCCTCAGCCAGTTCACGAGGTCAGGGTCTTCGGTCCCTGTGCCAGTGGAATGACGATGACAGACAGACAATCCAGGAATATCTAGAACAAAAAAGAACAGAAGTTCAACTGCCACTGTCTTCTTCTGTAGCCACTATGAAACTTTCCTCTGAAAACTCTTCTCACTTACTTATTGGCTGTGACCTAAGCCGTAGGTTTCTGATCTCTTGATCTTTTTCTTCTATAGCTTGATGTAAAAGGACTTGAAATTCTCTCTCCTTTTGAACCAATTCCTCCAGTAACCTATGAAGTGACAGGAAGTAAGCACACATTTCTTAAGTAGTTTCAAATTTTCAGGGAAGCAAAGATCTTGCAACACTTAAACTGGAAACCTTCTTGACAGAGACAAGGACAGAGTTCTTCAGCTTTCATAGGAATATCCTCTCGCTATAGATTTTTTTATGACCTATATCAAGACATAAACATTCACTGGTTCCTAAAGCTATAGCTCTTTAAAAGAAAGAAAAAAAAAACCCACAAATACACCAGCCTCCATGTACACATCCACCCACTAAACAGGTGGTATGGTACAAAATTTCAGTGAAATTCCTACAGCCAGAATTCTGTTTTAAACAAAACCGTGTAACTGAAAAGAACAAACATCGAAGCGTTTCATAAACCACGGGCTAAACTTTGTGACATAATCCTTTGTAAGGAAAAACGCCAGTTCACATCTCTCCAGCAGACATTTTCAAAAGTGTGGCAAGGGTGGAGCTGCGATGAAAATGTGTTTAAAACTTAGATCTGCATTTCTTAAATAGGGAAAACACGTTTTCAAACACAAGGGCTGTCCCTTCCTCGCATACGAGGCACTTTGTGCCTACCCTCCTATGCTGGATGAAGAGCGAGAAAAATAGGAGGAGGCAAAATACCTTGTGTCCTAACTGTTCCATTTCAGTATGATTTTGTTCCCCCCCAGCACCTCCCCCCCATTTTATTTATACCAGTGCAGCACTGCAACTTTTTTTCTGGGACACTGAAAGGCAGGGACATTCTGGAATTCAACTAGAGAATGTGCCACAAAAGCACCTTACCTGCCTTTGCACAGAAGTAAACTGCATCTCATGTGATTGCTTTGTAAAAACATCTAGCCCTACTTTTAGCCTCCACGCAGGTCTGCCAGCAGCATGGTTGCATTCCAGTGCTGCCACACCTGAGCTGACAATTCTTCACAAGCCCACCCTGCACGGGAACCTCTTTGTGCCTCTACGCAAACCCACGGCTTTGTTAATCTCGGTGCAGACTGATACTCAGTCCAGACAGGTGTGCAGTCACCTTTCAATTAATTTATTCCTCCTCTAAACATTCTGGTTGAAAAAGGCGTTTGGGCAAATAAAATAATCAACTGTTTTCTCTTGATAACTGCTTGCTGCTTATGCCAATAAAGCTTTAATAATAATAGTGAAACAACTGTCCATATTATTTACCTCAAAATTTCGGCATGAACGACAGGATGTGATTATTTGGCCAAAGACTTCGCATTTGAGAAATTTATAAAAGCAAAGTGCTAGAAAACAGTTCCTCTACAAACTGATCATTTCTGATGCTACTCCTCACCATGAATTCAAAAATTTACTGAGGTCAGTAGAAAATCCAACGTCATAAATCAGGTGCTGCAAAAGCTAACATACCTACTTTAATCAGACTATCTGGTATATTTTAGTGAAAATAAAACAAAATTATATATAAAATTATTTGGATAAATAATGGAGACAGATTTGTCTCTGCCATTTAAACACAAAACCCAAAAGAACCACTTTCCAGGTTTAAAGCAGAATACATATGTTTCTGAAAAAAAATCCAATATCCAAATTTCTGGCTTATAAAGAACACATCTATTTTTCCCATCTTTCTTTGATGAACAAGTTTTATTTAATGAACAAGTTTTATTTAATGAACAAGTTTTATTTAATAAAAAGGTAATGCTTGCTGGTAAGCACAGATCCTGCTGCAGTGCACAAAACAAGTCTGAAGCAGTTTCCTTGAGGAGTTCACGTGTGGCTGTTGACCAGCTGGAGTTTATTCCCCAAGAATAACTATAGAAAAGAACAGCAAGTTCTGCCTTAATGGAAACAAAACATTAACACCATTCATCAGCCACACACAGCACATGAAGGAGAGAAAAAGCAGAAGGTTGGCAGCAAGCTCAGTTTTTTTCAGACCTTCCTTGAAAGGGCACCTGAAATCAAGACTGACCTTAACTTGCATCACTATTGTTCTGAAATGAATAAAACTAATGTAAGTGATCAGTCACAGCTAAACAATGACCATCATTTAAATGAACAACTTGCAGTACTATGGAATTTTGGTATTGTCATAGTATTCTAGAATATGTATTTTAAAAGCGAAACAATACCCGCTGTCCCAAGTAGGCTAGTGTCTCCTGATGTCCAGACTTACCTGTTTGTCTCTAATTTTAGCCTGCCCAGCTGGACACTCAGCGATCTGTGAGCAGCCTGGGAGTCATGGGACACCGTAGAGCTGAGTGTGCTTACACCTGAGGTAGCTACTGCATCTTCCATGACAATGCAAGGCTGTTGGATAGTTTGATTCTGAGGCTGTTCATCTTGATCTTCAACTTCTACGTCATCTTGATCTGCTGTATCACTTTCAGATGCAAGACTAAAATGTGGCCTCAATTCTATTAGCAACATTAAAATATAAGCAAAAGAAAAAACATTAAAGATGTTAAACATTAAACCAAAAGCAGACCTAAGTGACTATTCACAGATCATCCTACAGCTTTGATTAAACCAGACCTGAAATTTCCGTAGCAAGAGAAGAGATATTTTCTAGGGGTTTACAACCACTCAGACCGTAATGGCATCTTAGCTTATGCTGTTTATTATTCAGCCTAACAAATGTTCCAAAGCTCTAAAAACCAAAAATCTGGATGAATAGGATTCCAGGTTTAGCTAGCATTTCATGTCAAATTATCTTTTGCTTTATGCCATTCTCAGTGGTTTGTAATTTCTTATGTGTCTGACTTGAAATGTTTTATTAAACAAATAACCATTATTTCTCTTATATCCAGCTATTCCTGTTGTTATTCTGGCATATTTAGCATTCTCTCATTATAAAAATACCATGTTTACCAAAAAAATTGTATCCAAAGATGTGGAGAGGAAATAACAGACCCCATTCCCGACAATTAAAAAAGTAGCACACTTCCCTTCTACTTATCAGAGAGTGAGAGAACATTGCCTGTTCTGTAATGATGTACATCCACAAAATGGCAGACACAAAGCTACAAGTGTACTCTGGTTTCTCATATTCCCTGTTTAAGCTACCTACCGGAGCTTACCAGGTATGCAAGATATGTACCCAAGATCTTATACTTCTACACACTTCTTATTGCAACAACATCTGTTAATTAATTCTAACCATTTCATATAAATCTTCCTTCCTTCCTTCAATTGTGGCTTCTTACTGCTGAGCACTCCCATAGTCTCACCAAAACATACTTTTTTTCTGAATCATACTTGGGTTTTGTAGGTTTTTGTCCTTTCTGCTGAAGAACTAACAAGTACATTTCTCTTCTTTACAAAAGAGACATTCATTCCTTGATCCATTTCATCTCTTCATTTCAATGCTACAGACCTTTTTCAAGGCTGAACATAAGATCAACAGAGCTGTGCTTCCTTTAAATTAAAGAAAGCAGATTTGTTATACAGCAGCTGCCCAAATATTGCGAGGCACATATGTCTGAATTTGCTTTGAACTTCTGCATCACACTAACAAGAACAGAAGTTTGTTTTGCCATTGTTCACCACCAGGCAGTATAACTACACAACATCTGCTTCTTAAAACATCCTGTAACTTTTACAAGTGTTAAGGCCACAGATAAATCTTCACCTTATTCATGGGGGGGGAGGGGGGGGGAAGTCAGTCAAAGTCAAGGGGAAGCAATCAGAAATAGAGTTAAGGCAATTAGGGCAGAGGGAGATGATCAGTGCCCAAAAGCTACTGGGGCACAGAGGCTTTTGTTTAAGCTTGGCCAGGTGCAAGTAATGCTGATACTGAGCTGCGTGGGGAAGAAGAGTCTATTAAGGAGGAATTCTACAGTACTCCTATCACACAGCAATAAAGTGCCTGCCTCTCAAAGGTGTTCGGCATTCTAATCAAAAGACAAATTTTCTTTATGACTTGACACAGAAACCCTATTTATGCCTTGCTGGTTGTGCTGAGGATATAGAAAACACCGAGGAGAAGAGGAAGAGCTGTAACTTTTGTTGGAATTTTCAGATCCTGCTGTTGATAATTTTGGACTTAACCCACTGCAGAAAACAGGATCGTAAGTATTCTGACTTCAGACTTAAAGCATTAAATCATATATTTGAAAATGTGACCATTAATTCCAGTG